TTCTTTAGTTTCTCTCTGACCTATTTATAACTAGCAACAATACTTTCTCTGAGAAGACAACAAAGCACTTTTTGTAAGCCGCTCTGCATAAGAGCATCTGCTTAACGCTGTGAATGTAAATGTATAGAACCATAAACACTCAAAGAACCCTTTGCATGATTAAAAGGTTCTTTGCATCATTGAATGGTTCTTCTGAATGATGGAGAATGTGCTTTAGATGGTTCTATATTGACAAGGGTTCTAGCACCAAAACAGGTTCTTCTATTGTAACAAGCTTGACATCATAACAATAGAAGAACCATTTTTGGTGATATATAGAACTGTTTTTAAAAAGGTTCTATACGGAACCATCTATAGCACAGTCTCCATCAATCTGAAGAACGCTTTCACAATGCAAAGAACCCTTTAATCACGCAAAGGGTTCTTTGAGTGTTCATGGTTCTAAATAGAACCTTTGTCTTTGCTAAAGAACCCTTGAAGAACCAGCTTTTTTAAAAGTGTAGGCCTGGGCAATAGGACGATATAACCAGATATCGTAGCTGGTGAACGAATAACCTGATGCCGATGTGTAAAAGACGATTATCGGCATTTTGGTAAAAGAACTGAGAGAGTTTTAGTGAGGACTAATTTACCGTTAAACAGCTTGTAAATACGTTAGTGAGTTGATAGAGATGACACAAGTTTAGCACACAAGTTGCCATGAATCTATACCAGAAGAAGCTCAGGAATGGTTGATGGACCATTCACAGTCCAGCAGTGACACTTAAGTATTTAAAAATTCCAGCAGCACTGCTGTGTCGGATCCACTCGTACCAGTGCAACACACTAACACACCACCACCACAACGTCAGTCTCACTGCATTGCTGAGAATGACCCACCACCCCAATAATACCTGCTCTGTGGGGGTCCTGACCACTGAAGAACAGGGTAACAAAGTATGCAGAGAAACAGATGGACTACAGTTTGTAACTGTAAAACTACCTGTATGTTAAGTAGAGCTGAAAAAATGGGCAATAAGCGTAGAAACAAGGGGGCTTACTTAATGAAGTGGTTGGTCAGTATTTCAGTGTTTCATTTAGCCTTTCGCTTGTCGTCCTCCTCGTCTCACAAGTCATTTCTGTCGTTTGAGTAACACAATCTTTCCATTATAGCGTTGATTTGAAGATAGTTAATACAGTCATATGGCTGCAATAAGGCATTAAGCTTCTTTAAGGTAAGATTAGCTATCTGCAGACCAGTTGTAGTTCCTTCCACCTTCAAGACACATCATCCGAAGGGGTTTTCCTAGTCTTTAAACAGGAACATTTCACTCTAGACTACTGTGGCACCCACATAGAAGACACGTAAACAGAGGAAGTGATGTTTTTTTTTGGCCTGAGTGTCTTTCTAAAGTTTAAAGATTTAATACTAAATCAAGTTTTTTTTTCTAACCACATGTCCAAAAAATAACCATTTGGAAACCTTTATTTTTAAGAGTATTATGCTATTATTATGTCATTTGAAAATGCCAGCTGCCTTTTATGGAAAGTGAACATTTCATTATGAATGGACCAAAATAAATGGTGCAAAACAGCTTCTAATAATGTCTTGTTATATTAACAAACCTTAAGGTTAAGAATGTTTTTTTGCTTCTACTTTAAAGAGATGCAAGATTTTCTTAAGGCAGTAGCAATATGATCATCTTGTCTTTCCACTTATTATTTTCAGATTGCACAACTCGTAGAAATCTAATAAACTGTTATTTACACAGTCTTTTATAAATGGCACTAATTCCAACCATATGCACTTCCAAAACACCCCAAAGCTGGCTGGGATGACGGCATTGCAGGTCTTTGTCTGACATCACATTCTGCAGCTGCCTCTGAACCCACAGTGTTTAGAATCTTCAGCTTTTCAGTTTTGTGCGGAGGCTGGTTTTCTCCTATCACAACCGGCCTGCACTCTGACCTTGAGGGCATGCAGGTGACAAATGGCTCTGGAGAATAGTGAAGGTTATGGAGCTAAAAGCCTGTCAGGACCAATAATGGACGTCTAGCGGGGAGATTTAACCAGCTGTTAGGAAGTGATGGCTGTTAAGTGGCTGATGCTTTCGCAGTTTGACTCAAGGCCTTTTGCGAAACAATATAAAGCCAATTTATCACCAGAACATCGAATTATTTATTTATTATCTTGTATGTGATTTAAAGCAGCCTTTCGCTGTATAAAATTTATTGAAAGGGAAGACAATGAAAAAGATAAGGTACAATATTTGCCCTCGTATGAATACAGTGGCCATTTTATTAGAAACCTTCAAACAGACAGTGGGAATGTCTGTATGAGTGGTCAGTTTCTGACCACAGCGCTGTTCTTGGCTGGATATTTTTTGCTGGTCTGAACTCAGCAGTGACACTGACATTTGTAAAAACCCTAACAGCACCACTGTGACTAAACACTCGTATTAGCACCACACACACTACCATGTCATTGTTACTGCTGTGCTGAGAATGGACCACCATCTAAATAATATCTGTTCAACAGCGGCCCTGTGGTCAGGAACTGATCAATGATGAATTGGGTAGAGGGGGGCAGCAACAGTCTGTAATTGTACACCTATGTAGTGGGCTTGTAAGGTAGGTGGAACTCAAAATATGACTATAAGCACGGGGTACATGTTTCTAATACAGTGGCCAGTGAGTGGACATATAAGGCCAGTGAATGGAATTACAAGGTAGGGGTTTCTAATAAAGTGGCCAGTGAGTGGAAGTGCAAGGTAGGTGTTTCTAATAAAGTGGCCAGTGAATGGAATTACAAGGTTGGTGTTTCGAATAAAGTGGCCAGTGTGTGGAAGTACAAGGTAGGTGTTTCTAATAAAGTGGCCAGTGGGTGGAATTACAAGGTAGGTGTTTCTAATAAAGTGGCCAGTGAGTGGAATTACAAAGTAGGTGTTTCTAATAAAGTGGCCAGTGAGTGGAGTTAAAAGGTTGGTGTTTCTAATAAAGTGGCCAGGAAGTGGATGTAGAAGGCAGTTGTTTCTAATAAAGTGGCCAGTAAGTGGAATTACAAGGTAGGTGTTTCCAATAAAGTGGCCATTGAGTGGAACTACACAAGAGGTGTTTCTAATAAAGTGGCCAGTGAGTGGAACTACAAAATTGACCACTCTGAGACACATAAAATAAAAAAAATCAGGATGTGAACTGCTACCCTGGAAAAGTCTGCATTCCAAGTAGTTCTTTTCCCCATATTTGGCTTAACTGCTATTTGAACCATTTGAAAAACCCTCCTTGTGAAAAGCCAGGCGATGCATTTGAAACTCGTTCTTTTCTCTCTGGCAGGCGAAACCGAGCATGAACACTTTTTTATAAGTTCACCAGCCGTGTGGCAAATTCAGCTTCTGATTGAGATAAGTCTGTAGCCGATTTCTCCCCCCCGTTCCCCTGATGTTTGCTTTCTCGCACACTTTGAAGCTATCACAGGAATTACGCCTTTAGGAATTTCAGGCTGAATCGATTATTTTACTTTTTTTCACCCCAGAGAAGTTTTAATTTCAGCTGGTGTGAAGTAAGCACCAAGATGCATCCATGAAAGAGCTGTACTTCGTCTTAAAATTCCCAGCAACACCTGAGAGCTGACGCTGTAGAGGCCTGATAAGAGTGTTTGTGTTCATTTCCCTTCTGTGTTTGAAGATTTTCCTTCCCTGCATTTATGTTCTTATTGTTAGGCTGAAGCCTCCAGGTGCTGTAGCAGGTTTGGTCCGCCATATTGCCATTACTTTTATCACATGCCGCAAAAATGAGATGCAGATTAGAAGATGTGCCTGTAAGAAAGGCAGCACCAGTGTGGAGTTGCAAATGGTGTTCAAGCAGACATAGCATTTGTGAGAAAGTCAAATGAAACAGCTACTGGGGGTGTAATGGTTCACAAAATTCATAATTTGGCTCGTAACGTACAATATTGTCATGATTCAGTACATTTTTCGATATAATTAAAGGATTAAAATATAAACAAAGTCATTCAGAGTGGTTTGATGTGAAATGCTTTGTTCTACTTGCTAAGTCTAAATTGTTCCCAGTGGTGGTGATAGGAACCAGACGTCTGAAGACGTCTAATGGGGTTTAATGGCTCTGAAATCTCCCTCACAGAAAGTTATTAGATGAAATGGTTATGAATTTGCTGCTTCATCCCTAAGATGTTGTGTTTTAAGATGATAGTTTTGAAAAGGTTTTGGCCTAAAAATGATTCTTAAAGTCCATTAATGGTGAAGAGGGTGCTGTAAGACAAAACAGTCCCCAAAAAATCATATCTTTTCATGTTTACAACTATTTTATGATTATCAACATCACATATAAATGTGGAGGACATGTGTAGTTTCACTGGTCATTTTAGATAGTAAATAAAACGGCTAATGGTTCTGTATAGCACCAAAAAATGGTTCTTCCACTGTTACAGTGTTAACTTTGTTACAATGGAAGAGCCCCTTTTGGTGCTATATATAACCCTTTTCAAAAAGGTTCCATATAGAACCATATATAACACATTCTCCATCAATCTGAAGAACCATTACATGATGCAAAGAACCCTTTAATCATAAAAATGGTTCTTGTGTGTTCATGGTTCTATATAGAACCATTTTCTTTACTAACGAACCCTTACAGAACCATCTTTTTTAAGAGTGCACTGTAAAAAGGCCAGTTGATACCATTAATATGCACATGGTTAATAAGAAATGCTTGTGTTTTAATTGTCTTTACAATTATTGTGAGTGCTGTCATTTGTGGTAGATGACTTTGCTGTTGTAAGAAAACCTCATATTACTAAAACAGTAACTTTACAGAAAAAGAAACAAGTCTGTTGTTTTAACAGATAAATGCAAGAAAGAATTGGTTTAAAGTTTAAGTTTATCCGTTTGGTATGAAATTCAAATGATGTACAAATATTAAAATGGGAAAAAAAGAAATTATAAGCTTTTCAACAGCAACAAAGTTCTACTGAGTGTGATCGGGGCTCTGTTGCTGTGGCGGACCTGCGAGACCGATGGCGGCTGTGATGTTTCCGTGTGCTGCTGCGTTTGGTGCGCCGCTTCCTTTCCGTGGCCTTCAGTTGCGGTGCTGGTTCTGGTTCCGGTTCTGCTGGCAGTAGCGGGGCCACACTGCTCTTTGGCACCAACCTGTGACGACACAAGAGAAGGAGACGTCTCTTAGAACCATCTAGAATGTCTGTATAAATTTAGAAAGGTCTTCAATGATGTTCTTAATTCTAGAATGTTGCTCCAGTTCATGTTCCAGAATGTTCTAAATTTAGTACCACAGTCTAGAACATTCTGCAACTTCCTAAACACTGAGTGATGAGTGACTTTGAGATTATTATAAGATTATTATAAGATTATTTAACTTATTTTTAGATGTTTTATACTTGTTTTAAGTGATTCTGTTATGTGGAAGTATCTCACTATATTGACAGATAACTGTCTTTGTCTCAGAAATAATCTTGCAACAAGCAAAACTGTTAATAAAGTGAGATGTCAAGTTAATAAAGAGATGTCATGTCTTTTGATGTCATGATATAATGAGATTTCATGTCTTTTCAAACTGCTGCTAACCCAACATCACTGGACAGCTCAACACGCTTGGAGGAGAACACTAACTTCCAATTCTGTTGTGTCAGCTAATAGACACCCACGTTGCCTAGCATCGAGGAGGACTATCCCAGCTGCCAGCAGCCAGAAAACTGTCCTGGATTATGCTGCTCTAGAGCTGGTCTGGTTCATGTTTAGCTGGTCACCCCAGCATGGTCCTGCCAGTTGACCAGCATACCAGCATCAAAACACAAAATATGCTGGTTTTGCTGGTCACCAGCCCTCTGGTCTGTGCTGTTTTTTTTCTAGCTGTTTTTCTACCTACACACCCAGAGAGAGTGAGGACAATTATACTAATGAACATTTTGATGTCCTGATGAGAGGAACATTGCACTGACAGTTGCGCATTGACAGGCCAAATAGCCCTGGAGGTTCAGTATCAATATTCTGAGATGGGATTAAAAACAGTTCTCCAAAATGGTGAAATACCAAGGATCCAGACTGCAATGTTCCAAAACAAATGAAATCAAAAACATAGTGTATGTAAAAGCGTTTAAAGCAAAAAAAAAAAAAGAATAAATAAACAATATTTTTTTCTGATTTTATTCTTTTTATAGATACACTATTTGTGCTATTTATTTAATTTGCTATGTTATTTATTTATGTTTTTCTCTTCTTATTGTTTTTACTGTTTTATTATCTTATGTTATGAAACATCCTGAGTTTGAGCTGCACTTTATGCATGGGAGGTGCTAAATTAATAAAGTAATTATTATTATTAGCAATCTTTGTACTGTGCAATGGTACCTTAGACACCTTGTTTAAAAGCATTTATCTTGGCAATAAATGTGCTTGTTTTTCTAGAAACATCATCAATCATTAGAATAAATGCAAATAAACCTAAATACAGTAAAAAGCAATATTAATGTCTTGTCTTCAAACAAGTCGTTGATTTAAGAACAAATTTGGTTCCAGATCTCCTGGATGCCTCCAATCTTTACATGGATTTGTTCAATTCCATCATCAGCACACTTGATTTAACATAATGAAGTACTGAGTAGATAAACCAGGCATTGGCTAATAGTAGCTCATGGCTGTTTGGGACACATTGGCTTATATTAAAATCACTACTTATCGTATTAACATCATTCATATTGTTCTAATATTGGTGTTTTTCTGAGCATATTAACTCAACCAGCTTTTTACATTTTATTTTCTCAGGAACTTCAAACTTTTGTACTGCAAATCAAATATTTTAAAACATTTAAAAACATATTTAATGAAATCAGGTGTGTGCTGATCAGAGGGGAACAGCTGGAACGCTTTTTGTTTTATAATTCATGTCTGAGGCAGTTCTTGTGGCCTGCGGAACACTGCATTTCCACACGTTTTTCCCCCCTCAGTCCTTCATGAATCCAGAGGTCATCTGCTCAGCATTTAAATGAGACGTTGGCAGGAAAAAGCCTTTATTTACACGCTTCGTCTGATCTGACATTTCTGAAATGATTCCTGGATCTCAAACTTGTCAGGCGTATCGCCGGTGAGCTCCACACTCAAGCGGAAAACCCAGTAAGGTCGTCCTTCGCTGATAGTGGACAGTTTGAGCTTTGGTTCAGAGCAGCAGCCGAAACTACAATTACTCCTGTTTTCATCTTCCACTCACTCATTACTAATTACTGAACAAATCAATCTATTTCATTGTGTACAGTGTCAGTAGCTTATTAAAACAATTGATAGGAGTGATTAACGTGTTATTCCATATCATAAACTGCCCCGCTGTGCCTCTTCATAATTTCCAATTACCTGAGACCATATCTCCTTAAAATAACATTTAGTGTGAGAAAAAATGAAATAACACCTTTAGTAGGAAAACGCTATTCTCCTCATTAACACTTCGCAAAACTCCCACCACAATTTTAAAAAGCTCTCCAAGACTTTAATTTCAAATGACCGGCGTGCTACAACTAATCGGGCCGCACTCCAGCAAAGCCACTTTCTGCGTATTGCCTCGTCCAGTTATTACAAAGAACAGGATTTGCTTAATAATGATTAAAAAAGGAGAGAAACCTCGAGGGCACTTAAGAAAAGCTGAAGAAAAAGTCCATGGGAATTGGTTTAATAAGTAAACGAAGGCCGTGTCATTTGGTAGAAACTGTATTCCTTCTGCTTCCCTGCACAGACACGGTTAATGGCTGTGTGACCTGCACATTAAAGAAATCCATCTTTTTATAGATTTTTTCTTCTGTGCAATTACAGAAGAATTTTGCAAGTTGAGTATTTTAACTGTTGATTCTGGTTTGCAGCAGAAATTATGACAGTCAAATGCGATCAGAAGAGAAAATGGCAACTGTGAGGGAGAGTACCTGGCTATTTCTTGCAGTGATATAGTCAAATATGTAATAAGAAACATGGCAACTATATGATAACATTAGGTACAGCATTAATTTAGCCACAACACTGATGTCCATAACAAGCTGGGAGGACAGACGTCTATAGTTTCAAAACTTTTTGGCATGTATGATCATGAGATTCAGTGTGGAAACTGATAATGTAGGAGCTCCCTAGATTACCAAACCATCTCAAAAACTACCAAACCATACCAGGAAACTACCAAACCATCTCAAGAACTACCAAACCATTGCAAGAACAAATTATCTCAAAAACTACCAAACCTCACCAGGAAACAACCAAACCATCTCAAGAACGAACCATCTCAAAACTACCAACCCATACCAGGAAACTACCAAACCATCTCAAGAACGAACCAGCTCAAAACTACCAAAGCATACCAGGAAACTACCAAACCATCTCAAGAATGAACCATCTCAAAAACTACCAAACCATACCAGGAAACAACCAAACCATCTCAAGGACGAACCATCTCAAAAACTACCAAAGCATACCAGGAAACTACCAAACCATCTCAAGAACGAACCATCTCAAAAACTACCAAACCATACCAGGAAACAACCAAACCATCTCAAGGACGAACCATCTCAAAAACTACCAAAGCATACCAGGAAACTACCAAACCATCTCAAGAACGAACCATCTCAAAAACTACCAAACCATACCAGGAAACTACCAAACCACCTCAATAACGAACCATCTCAAAAACTATCAAACCATACCAGGAAACTACAAAACCATCTTAAGAATGAACCATCTCAAAAACTACCAAACCATACCAGGAAACTACCGAAGCACACCAAGAACTACCAAACCATCTCAAGAACTACCCAATTATACCAAGAACAACATTAGGTACAGTATTAATTTAGCCACAATACTGCTAAATATGTCTATATCAAGCTGGGAGGACACAGATGTCCAGATATCTATAGTTTCAAAACTTTTTGTCATGTTAAATAAAATCTATTAAATCTATCCCTAAACCTTACCCTAACCCTAACCCTCACCTAAGGGCAACACCTACCCCTACGCTAACCTTGACGTTATTGATAATCAACTGAGTATCATCAGAAAGTTTGTTAACAATTAAAGTACCTCTAGATCATCTACAGGGGACAATCAAAATAAAGTGTGACTTGAATTTTAGCTACATAACATATACATCTAATAAACTGTAAATATGTGTTATCGTAATCATATTATAATCTAATTATAGCTAAGAAATGTTTGTGGAGGATAAAGATGACACAATGTCATAATACAGAATTTTCTGACTTGAATTACAGGAAATACACAAAAAATGTACAAATAAAGCCATTATGTATATGAAGATAAGGAACTGTCCTGTACAGAATTATTAATGCATTTGATTGTAAGAGGAGTGCAAATCTCTGGTCTAATTTTCGGGTTTTCTCACAGACATATAGACTTAACATGCTCTAATCCTGCCATTCATTTGGGCTGTAAAGGGGATAATGCAGACTTTCTGTGAACTTCCAGGTAGTCTGCTGGTACGCAGCCATCAGGAGACTTTTCTTATTGAGTTACCGAGAAAAAAAATTCACAGCAAAACACACATGATGACATTAACAAAATGGGAAGAGTTCCAAAAAATAAGTACTACAAATAGATTTAAAATGAAAGTAACAAACAATTAATATGCAGATTTTGGTGTCAGTATCAGCCATGAAAGCGGCTCGAGTGACCCTCATTTGCACTTTTACACGCTTGCAGGTGTGTGACCTCGCAGATCCGTTGTGATGATGTTAAGCACTTCAGTGAATGTCAGAGAAAGTGGGTCCACAGGGCTGGAGTCTGGAGATTTACACTGAGCACAGGATTAGCAAGAGTTTGGCCTTGACTCGAGCTTTGACCTTTGACTTGTTGAATCATAATGAAAAGCTGTGGAACGTGACCTGAAGGCAGCACCGTCCATCAGGCAGGACGCAGTCGAGATCTTATTAGGCTTATTAGCAGTGATTCTTCTAGCGCAAAAGCTTGTATGTGTGATATTAAGTCATAATTACAGATTCTATTCCCTCCATAGGTGTTTTGTGTGTGTCTGTGTATACAAGCTGGTGTGTGTGTTTGTGCGACTCTGTCTCTGAGCGTGTGTGTGTGTGTGTGTGTGTGTGTCTGATTGTAATGAGAGGTTAATCAGTCTCTCAGATTAAAGCTTG